GCATCACTGGTACGTTAAGGTAAATAAAATATTTCCATGAACATTTCCAGCTTACTTATAAAATCTTAAAGCATAAAATTCAAGTTTCACAAACCTTCATGTCAGGCAATGAAGGGGCGAGATAAACTCTTCTAAGAAACTCAGCGGACCGAGTGCGGACTTTTGCTTTTTTCAAGCGGCCGCATTTTGACGTATACAGGTGAGACGATCGTTCTAAACTTTTTTTACTTTCTTTTTATTTGAGGCAATAACAAAGAATACAAATAAACATGGGAAATGCATAATATTACATATACCTTAGTATTATAAGCCCACAGTAACGCTTATGGGGATAAAAAAAAAGTGATATTAAAAGAAGCTAACATTTACTCTTGTGGATTCGCTCTTTTTTTATCACAACCCTGAAAGACTCGTTTTTATTTGGTGCCTTCATCCAGAAGCGGCAGGATTGAATGTTTTTCACAAGACTCAAAGAATTCCATTCCTCTTTCATTGTGTAACGGTATTGTGCGAGACTTCACTTTTGAGCAGTACAATTCCAGGCACTTTCGGGGCCACTACACGAGCAAAATCATCAGCACTTTCAATGATTTCCATTTCTGACGACCTGAGGTTGTGCAAGGGAACTTGGTGCTTGAGGACATCCCCCACGTCATTACACGCACTTTTGCCATGTCCCATAGCTTAAAAATCAACTTGGTCACTTCTTGTCTCCTCGCCTTGTGTTACAGTTGAAACCTATTTTTGAAATGACTAACCTCACCGTCGGAGATGTGGACACATTTTGTAAATGTCGGAATGTCTCTTTCCTGCCAATCTATCTGTGCGCAGAGTGAACAGTGCGTGTGCTGTATCGTGCACGATATCGTCGCTGACGACTCCGAAGCTGTAGATTGTGTGCTCCGTCGTAGCGATGCAGGTGAAGATAGGCACGGTTTGGGTCTTTTAGCATTGTACCGCTCGCGGAAGAATGACGCTCCAATTTTCCGGAAAATCAAAATGCAATACGATGGCACGAGAAGATGCTTCTTTTCTGAGCTTATAGCAAGCCGCTGAGCATGTCGGATGAATTAATGGGGGAAGTGCTTTCTTACGCAATTTCTTAGCTCATTGCAAAATGCGTTACTTTATATTTGTTTCTTTAGCAGTTCGCCAGATCCCCACAGAGCCACTTCTATTTATTCGTCTTTCTTGATTAAAGAAAGAAAAAATGCGTGCACGCTTACTGGCGTGCTTGGAGGGGCCGTCGCGTGAAATATGTTTCGCCACAGGTGCTCTGGTATCTCACAAACTACTGTGCAAACGCCGTATATGTGTGTAAAGCGCGAAACACATGTACGAAGAAACCGTCCGATCCGACGTCCGACCGCGCAATACGACGGTCGGAGGCGAGGGTTTTCAACGCTCTCCGATGCTACGAAAACCCTCTCCCCTCGAGGTCATTCCGGCAGTCCGCACGTCGGATCGGACGGTTTCGTCGTACATGTGTTTCGCGCTTAAATCTCATATCACAACGGCTTCACTAGGGTCAGTGTCCTGCCGCGGTCCTCCTCCCCCCCCCCCCCCCCCCCCCCCTCCCCTTTCCTTTCCTGCGCCAGCTCAACACCTCCTAGAAATAAGGCCGTAGCACTTCGAGTGGTTACGTCACAATGTCGGACAAGGAAGGCCATGGCGCCACTATGCGAGAAAATATCTGGTATCGGCGTGAAAAAAAATGTTTCTTGTCGAGCGGCGCGGGGTGTTCGTGCGCGTTTATACGACATCAATACACATTTTAAAAGCGCAGTCTCGTACGATTTATTATATAATATAAACGTAATATACCAAGGTTGAAAGTACCAAATTTATATTTATGATTATCCCCGTAACCGCGGGACTACGTGCAGTCCCGCAGCTCCCCACACTCTTCGAATGAACCGGCTCCGAGGCTCCGATGCGACATCTTCCCTCATACGGGCTCCGATTCTGGTAAATTTACGTTGTGTGTGAGCTGCTGACTGTCTCAAAAGGAACGCTGGGACATTTCAGAAGGGAAGGAAACTGAAAAAAAAAAAATCGTCATCGCCGCAGGGAGCGCACACGAGAAAGAGATGGGTCGACAACGTTAAGCCTTTCGTCCTGCTGCTGGTGCTCTCGTGGGTAGTTCTTTTAAAATGTGCACTTTTCTTTTTTTCGTCGTTTTTCTGTCGTACCTGCAGTCTCCGGCAGATTTTTCTTTTTTTTTTTTTTTTGCTTGTTATTACGGCATTTACGTGGATTCGCGGAACAAATCCTGCTACGGTTTGAGTGACGTGTGGCAACTATAGTGGGTGACAGTTCAAGAACGAAGTGTAAGCCCACCTCTTTCCACTTTAGTAGAGCGAATGCTGGAGAGGAGGCGACCTCCTCTCCACCGTTCGCTCTGCTGAATTGGAAAGGGGTGGGAGGAGCTTCCACTTCGTTCTTGACCTGACACCGACTATAGTCGACGTTGACACTGGTCGGTGACCTATCTCTCGACAGGGAGAGATCCAGTTCTTGAAGTTCGTGTTCAAATGTTGTCGTGATGGGTATTGTGGGAGGAATGGATACAATCGACATGTGAGAAACAACTTATTTACGAGCTTTCTTGGTCATGTAAAGCGCAAATAAAATGCTGCAGTCGATTTTTTTAAATCTCATGATAGAATGGAATCTCGTTCTTCGTCGTTATTTGTGTGCTATTGCGTCGGCATTTGTGAATATGCGTGGTAATATTCTAGTTTTTACTGGAAGGTAAATAGCAAGTTTGTGTGATTCAGGATATATTAGGGCATATTAGGATCTGAGAAACGCTTCACCCGCGTTTCCCAGATGAGTGCGTTATTTGTGCTTATGTATTTATTTATACTAATGTTATTATATTGCCTTTATCGCGTTTATCTTTAGTGTATTAAGGTAATAGTATTATTGTATACAAAATGGGTTATATATTGCTCTTTGGCAGCTCGAGCCCATAAGAGGGAGTAAATTAGTTTACTGTAAACAGTAAGTTTAGTACCCCTGCCACACAGAAAAGTTAATATAGTTCCATTAAATCATGTGGGATTTAATCAGCTCGCATTGTTGAGTGATTATACGAGCGGTCGTAAGCTGATTCGTCGACCCCATATTTTCATTCGATCGAAATTACATTATTTCTAATTCAGTGACTGCACGCGATAACATCGCTTACGTTATCGTAAGTGACACTTGTCGAGCCGTGTCCGCGTTGACTACGTCTACCCGATTTTTAACTGTGATTTGTATTGCTGCGTCTAATCACTGCGTGTCTCGCCATTTTGTCGAAGTATTTCTGTATGAAATATGCATTCCTACGGCAATAATTGCGTGAGTCAATGTTTTCGACTTAAAACAAGCATATTTTTCTATAGACGTTTTCAACGCATACCTCGTGCCATTTCGTACCGATTATTCAGCGGTGTAATGTTTTGCCAATGTAATAGAGTGTTTCTAAAGGCCCGTTCACACTCTTGCGACTGCTTGCGACCTCTTAAACCTAGGTTCCTTAAAACTTCTTAAACCAGAGAACACACTGGCGCCATCTATTGGGAAGCAGTGTAAACTCGGCGGTCCGGCATATTTTTTTTATTTCTCGCGCAATATCCTTTCTTTTTTGGCTCGAAAAACTTTTGTCAATGTTATAAACGAGCCTTTCTATGGGTATTACGCACATTTGACCTCGGAAATCCCGCAAAACCTTCGCTTTTGTGAAATGCAGTTCTAGGGTCACCGCATAGATGGCGCCACAATGTCAGTGTGTCCCCTCATTCTAGAAACATTTAAGAAGTTGTAAGAGATCTCGTCTCTCTCAGTCGTACTCGGTCGCAAGAGTGTGAACGGGCCTTTAAGGCCCGTTCACACTCTTGCAACCGAGTACGACTGAGAGAGACAAGACCGGTTTTTAATCCTCTTGCGACTTCTTAGGACCAGCTCCGCAGCAGCGCGCCTGGTCCTAAGAAGTCGCAAGAGGATTAAAAACCGGTCTGGTCTATCTCGGTCGAAGTCAGTCGCAAGAGTGTGAACGGGCCTTTAGACCCGTTGCTATGTGCAGCTTTCATTTTAGCTAATGAAGGCCCGTTCACACTCTTGCGACCGAGTACGACTGAGAGCGACTCCTTAGGACCGGATGCGAGGCAGCAAAGCTGGTCCTAAGAGATCGCAAGAGGCTTAAAAACCGGTCTGGTCTCTCTCGGTCGTACTCGGTTGCAAGAGTGTGAACGGGCCTTAAGACGCGCGTGTGTGACTAAAAGCGCGTCACGACGGTTGATCCACGCGCGTCGCCTTCGCTTCGACGCGCGCCCCCGATGGCCTTCCTTTGCGACGTCACGAGAAGATCTCTACGGCCTTATTTTAGGAGGTGTTGGCCAGCTGCACCCAAAGAAGTCCGCTCTCCAACCCTCCCCCCCCCCCCCCCCTCCCCTAAGCCCCCTCCCACTGACGCACAGATGGATGTAACTAGGGTGCCTACATGTTTCCGCTGCGGAGCGGCGGAAACATGTAGGCACCCTAGATGTAACGTCATGGGCAAAGCGTTTCCCAGATCCTAATATTTGCCATTTCACCAAAAACTAAAGAAGCTGCCGCATAATTCTTACCACAAAAGAAAGTTATCTTTGGGGGCTTGATAAAAAAGAAAAGCGTTCTCCTCCTCTCACTCCCCCCCCTCCCCCCCCCCCCCTCCTCTTTCATTAAACCCTCCACCGTTGTAAAAACGTGAGAGCAGGAAACGGAAAAACACCCATTTAAAAACGCGCGCCCGCTGCGTTCGGTAATTCAACCTTTTCACCAGTTTTGTTACCCTTCATCACCCGTAACTCCAGACTACTCCAGACAACCCCCAACCACACAAACGCCCAAAGAAACGGTGACGTCATCTATCGTCAGGCATGAATATCAGCCCGGCCTGGCTCAGCCCTATGAGTCCGAGAGATTTTCCCGTAGGTTTCGAATACGTTACCATTTTAGCCCTATGCTCGTTGTGGCGCTGATGTCGCACTGTTTGTGTCGTTTGTGTCGTTATCAGATACGTGCGTCGGCTGCTGCTACATTTTTCGTCGTTTGTTTCCTTCTCGGTAGGCTACTGAGCGTCCGCTACCTTGAACTGGATTGCAGCGTTTCTTAACGCGGGACTTTCCTCGGACCCTTCGTGTCCAGTAGACAGCCGTCGGGCTGCGTGACAGGGTCCACTGTGAAGTTTGTGCTCCGTACAACCTCCAAACATGGTGTGCTGCATCGTATCATGCGTGCTTATGCTGGGAGTACCTCTACTGGCCGCCTTCGTCGCCTGGCTGAAGTTTGTGGACGCCGACTTGACGCTCCTATTTAAGGCCAAGTTTGGCCGCTCAGTAGGTGAGTGTGCGCTCAAGTAGGAAGGAAACGTGTGCACGCTCATAATCGTGGGAAGCAAGCTGTATCGTACCGCGTCTCTGTCGACGCTCGCACGAGCGAGCAGCGATAGCGCTGTATGCCGATAAGAGACGTTTCCAAAAGGGTCATAAAAAAAAAAAAAAAAAATAAGGATTGCTGTCTGGGCGCTTGACCCCTACTGATAGATTGTTTTGTTATCTTTTTTATATATGCTTTAATGCTTACCTCATGGCTAGACACGAGAAAAAATTATCTACGATATGCCCCAGGGGAAAACTTCATTATTATTATTTTTTACGATAACTGAATAAATTTTTTTTTATAAATATGGTGTTAGTTTTGATATAGCTTGACTTTTTACGTTGTAGATGCTATATGCATGCAGAAAAAAACATGTTCTTGTGCACACGTGGGGCATGGCAACACACTTAAAAGTGTCTATACTATACTTTGTCTCACCTTAGTATTGACTAGTGCCACTAAATAAGCTACGCCGTAGAGTAACGACACTTGCCTATATTGTGGCTAAATATCATGGTTGCCAGTTTTCTGAAGCTTTATCTGAAATCACAGGAAACGCTTTTCCATCCTCCACAAATATTTAAACAGTTTGAGACAGAGCAAAGCAGTATTAAATGAGCTCCCTAGCACCGAATGTAATGCTGAGGAAGTCACATGTTGACGGCAGTTGCGTCTGCTCTGCACAGTACCAAAATGGCGACGCCCACAACACTGGGGGAACAGAGTGCCAATACTCTAAGCGCAGCTCATTTAGTGGCTCTAGTATAGACATTGTTAGCCGCGCATGCTAAAAGCATGAGCTAGTGCTGCAGTCAAGGCCATAGAATTGTTATAATGTACAGTGCTTGACGAAACGAAATGGACCAGCAGAGTGCGTGGCCTCGCCAGAGCCGCCGTATATTGGGAGAGTTTGGCCAATGGGCGGAGCAAAGACCGCCGCAAGCGCCGAATATTCCTCTTGCGGTTAAAGCGTAAACTAGAAGTGTGACACGGGGTCGACCAATCAGCAAGCTGCGAGGTCACAATATTGGAAACATTTAAATCGTGAAATAGAAATGTTCAATCTCAGCGTCTCGGTGACAATGGCGTCAATAGCAAATCAGCAGCAATGATCGCAACTACGCAGTTTGCTCTTGTTTGGAGCGCACATTAATTTATTCTGCCATCGAATGTGGACGTGACGAAAACCTCACATGCAACAAGTTTTCAACCACCCTTTTTACTCTGGCAACACTAAAACGGCTTAAATTAGTTAAGTCATATTTTTAGAGCCCACGATTGCTGCTCGGGGCTGTTTCGTGGCCTGTGGTTGGCCATGAGATGCTCGCCTGTTCAAACAAATGAATGGCCATGCTCTCCAAATATACGGCTCTGGGCCTGGCATATTTGACGGCAAGGACATCATGAATAGCATCTAGGACGACGTCGAGGATGAAGTCCTAGAGGACGACTTCAAGAATGACGCCTAGAGAATGACGTCGAAAACGACGCCTAGGACGACTTCAAGGACGATGCCAAGGACAGCGTTGTCCTCGAGCATACGATTGAGCGGCACATGCTCACGTCAGGCCCATGCATACCCGCGTCCCCACCTCCCACTGCGCCGCCAGCAGTTCGGCTGACCCCTTAGCAACGATGACGCCGTTGCTATGGAGCCAGATGACGCGTGTTTTTCGGTGGACAGACAATGCCGGCTTCGCTCCATGGAACAGTTAATGCTTTCGCATTAAAAAGTGACCACCACTCCCAGTGATCACGCTGTTTGTACTAAATAAACGAGTAGTGTCCTTGCACGTGTCTCCTTTTTCGCTATTTTCTTTTGTTATAAGTTACGGACAATATAACTTGACGTCTTGAAGGACAGATAAAATTGCGAGTGTAATGCAATTATTAAAGAAAGCGGTTAATCTTGAGATTCATGCTTTGTAGTAATGTAGTAATCGCCTATCGGAGGGATGGGGTTGTGCCCCAAGCACGAGCAGCTCCTGACTGCTTGGCTCAGCTACGTGCGTGTGCAATTCGCGGCACCGGATTGCACGGCTTCTTCTGGCAGGTGTCTCAGCAGGTATGCAAGGCTCCGCCAGTCCATTTCATTTCGTTGAGCACAGTGCCTAGAGGTTCAACTGGCGCTAGTGTCTATGCGACTTCCGGGAGGCAAATTGAAGCAGACAGCAACCTGTCTACCCTTGCGGTGCTCCTGTGCGTTCCTATGGGAAAATGTGCATGCATTTTTTCCCTTTGCCGAAAAATAACATGGAACACTTTTGTTATTTGAGTCCTACCAGATAGTATATGTATTATTGGGAAATGAAATGCGAACAGAGGAGCACGTGGCTTGCGGTACAGGCTGCACTGCCTGGAAGTAAGCCTAGGGGCGAGGGTGCATGGCCCATGTGTTTACGCCCTTCGCTCGGCGCTCCACAAGCTTCGGCAGTGCGCCTTCAAGCTCCTCCCCTCCTCTCCTCCTCCCCCTTCTCTCCTCCTCCTCCTCCCCCTCCTCTCCTCCTCCCCCTTCTCTCCTCCTCCTCCTCCCCCTCCTCTCATCCCCTATTCCCTTCTCCTCTTCCCCTCCACCTCCCCTCCTCCACTCCCCCTCATCCTCCCCCTCTTCCTCCACCCCTCCCTGTCGTCCTCCTTCCTGCGCGGTGCATTATGGGAAATGTCCCATAATGCTCTTTGCAAGGAGGAGGGAAGGAGGGGAGGAGCTTGAAGGATGAGGGGAGGAGAAGCAGGGATGGGGAGGAGGATGGAGGAGGTATATAACCTCCCCTCAGTACCCTTCCCTCCTCTTCCTTGAGAGCTGCGCTCTAATTCGGTGTTACAGGGTGTTGTAAACGTCTTTCACTTTTTGCTTACTCTCGTCCCCAGCCACCTGGTAGGCATATCCGGTATGGGCGACGAAAAAATAATAAAACATTCTACCTACAAACAGTAAAAAAAATAGAGGGGAGACAAAACGAGAATGGTTCATGCTTACACTTATATCCTAAATGAATTCTGTTGGCGTGGCGACGGCAAAACAATGCTTTCATCCATACTGGAAGGGAAAATATTTCAAGATGGCGGCACCCTTGTGAAGTAGGTCTATGGGCAGTTCAAGATATCTTTGGCTAGTAATCCACATACACCTTTGGAATGTGATTTGTTCTTTCAAAAGTATCCAGAATAGTACACTATTGTTTACCGTCTCTTGACTCACCTGCAGTTTTGTACCAGCTGAGGTTATGACTCTTCATTTATTTTTTACAGACACACTCAAGGGCAAGGTGATATGGATCACCGGAGCTTCCAGCGGCATTGGAGAGTACCTGGCCTACGAGTTGTCCAAAGTGGGCGCACGTCTGGCGCTTTCGGGGACCAACATTGAGAACCTGAACAAAGTCAAGGAGAACTGCCTAGGTACGGTCTTCTCTCGAGATGCTAGCAGACACCCAGAGTGAGATTGAAGGGTTCAGATGGTATTTTAGCTGAGCAACTAATTATTCCTACTGTGAACAACAAATGTATAAGCAACAAATAAGAGGCATATCCTTTGTATTGTCTCTCACAACACGAATATAATCCAATTTAATGTCCCGGAGGATGAAAAACAAATATAGAGGAATCGATTTTATTTCCTTCATACTGTGTTTGTTAAAGTGATATATCATAGAGAGTGCACTGCACGTTACAGTGCAAACATGACAGTGGTGCTCGAGCACCGTTCCACATACAGGATACATTTAATATCTTCTGTAGAGCTCCATCTCCTTACCTGCCAAGCGCCCCGGACTTAACTGTATAACATACAAACTCTGACCGTTTGTATGGTTGCACGATCGACACGAAAGTCTCTCTGAAAACTAAGGCTGGGCACTTGGTCGATTAACCTACAGATTAATCTATGAATGCTTTCAATGTGATTAATTCTTTTAACTGCTTAATCGGTTATATTTTGACAAACAAAAGACATAAGAAGTTAATGCTTTCATCAAGCAGATGTGAACGAGTACACCTTGTTTGAAAGCAAACCTACCATAAAATCCTGAGAAATGCCCCACCTGTGTAAGGTAACCCACCCCTTTTTTGGGGGGCTTGATTTGCTATTTACTTTTAAACACCAAAGATAGCTCAATCCTAGTAATCGTAGCGTTCGGATCAATGATGACCTTGGCATAAATGCGTCTAGTTAGCTTTGGCAGGACATAAGTGAGCATTGCTGATTATGAAGTACAGTCATCTTTGCTTCATTGCCGCTCGCCGCGATGACAAGTTTGACAGAGACCCATGATCTAAAAATAGCATTATTTCAACTTTTCTTGATTGCACACCTAAAGTTACCCATTCCTTATTTTCACCCAATTGTTTCTCACTTTTACGTGGGCTATCTCTCGAGATTTTACAGTAGGTGAAATTCTGACCTAAACTTAACTATAGGAGCAAGATTTGTAACTTCAAACAAGTAGAGAAGGTTATACATATCCCACGCATGCGTGTGAGTAGTACCAGTTTTGCACAGCAGAGACCATTGTGAACTGTCAAAGGAACTTGCTGTTGCCGGAAAATATCAACAAACCTTTTTGCTTCCACGTTGAAGTAATAATTTGTAAGTGTTAGTGTCTTTTGACTGTGCTCAACTACACATCAAGGCTGATTTAAAATTCAAAAATCTACATTGCACCGTTTATCCAGTGTCCAGCAAAGGCAAGAAAAGTAATTTTAACTTTTTTTTTCCTTTATTATGCATGGGAAGGAATGAAACCGATTAACCAATTAATTAGTTGATTAGGGGGTGGCAATTAATCGGGTTAAACTTTTTAATCGACGCCCAGCCCTACGGAAAATAGAGAAATGAAAGGCGTTCAGGGTTTCATTTCTATTTCCAAGCGGAAGAGACGGCAGAAACGGAGATGGCAAAGAAATTTGTTGGTTAGGTTTTAATCCAGAACCTTAGGTTACGTGTTACGTAGAAAAATGTTTGAACAGCAGTAGAGGCTTTAATACACGACGTTTCGGGAAGAGACTTCCCTTCTTCAAGTGTGTATTTTCTGCACACTTGAAGAAGGGAAGTCTCTTCCCGAAACGTCGTGTATTAAAGCCTCTACTGCTGTTCAAACATTTTTCTACGTTTACGACTTTCTTGCTGAAGACTTGTTCATTAATACAGTTACGTGTTACCTAAAGGGGTAAGCCGAAATAACCACCGAGGCTAACCCTTTGCTTGCTTTAGAGGACTTCTTTCCAAACTTATTCTTAGCTTTGGTCTCCGTGAGATCATGGCACCGCTTTTTCTGCCATACAACCACTGCCAACTTGGGCACCAGGTGCTTGTAGCTCAGCAAGGGTGGTGCTCTAATCTGATTAAGCTTGACTGTGGTGGATTGGTTGGGCCCCTTAATTTTAAAGCTAGTTTTCTTCTTTTTCGTAGTTCCATCCAGCTGGCATTTCAGCTTCCACGTAATAGAAGCTGAAGCACCACGTGGAGCCCCCCTCTAAATCAGCCACTGCCACACATGCGCTCGTTTTGCCTTCCAAGAGGACTTTGATGACGTTGAACGCAACAGGGGACTAGATTACATTTATCTAGATGCGTTTAGGAGAAAAGAATAATGTTACAAGCATCTTTCACGAGCCTGACATCGTCGTCTTCTGTGGCAGCGAATGCACTAATGACTGCAGTTGAAGGGATTGTTGGCCACACAGCATTAATTCCCGAGGTGGCCGCTAGGGAGCGCCACCCCTTGATCTCCTCCCCAATTAAAATGAGGAGAAACATTGTATCAAGTTGTTTCGTACAAATATGCGTGATGGTATACACTTCATTTTTTCTACAGCGGTGTGAGGGATGCATCACACTTCTTCTTTTAAGCAGTATTCTTAGAGGTACAAATTGCACTTTGTGGTATGTTATCCCTTAGAAATCTTAGTACTGTTAGTTTGCTGCTGTTTGAAAGCTTGTGTACCTCTTCAGGTACACCAATCACAGCTGGGTGAGAGAATGCCTGTGAATTTCTCTCTTAAAGCTGGTTCACACACCTGAGTTTGACTGATCGAGAGCGTCACAATCACTCTTGACGGCCTATGACGAGACGACACACTCGTGCCATCTATCGGATAGTCCTGAAACCCATTCAGTCTGCGTGTAACTCTTCCGAATATTCGAGAGTAGGTATTTGCAAGATCAGGGCTTTTCACCATCTATGAAAAATGGTCTCTTACATTGTCAGAATCATTTCAAGCCTGTCGTGATAGAGTGATGAGTAAGCGAAGTGCTCCATGGTTACCCGATAGACAGCACGAGCATGTCATCGCGTCGCAAGCCGTCACGAAAGGTCGTAGCTCAGTCAATCATGGTCAAACACAAATCTGCGAGCCAGTCTTTATAATGTTTGTGTTACTGGAAGTGTACCGCTTCCTATAACGCAAGTGTTCCGAAGCACGGGTCGTCTAATTGCGCATTCCTTGTTCTGTTCCACCGGCCACTCTAGCGTTGGGGAAGAGCAGAGGGGCCGAGGTGCTGACCGTCCCATTCAACATCTGCGACTTTGGCTGCCATGAAGAGCAGCTGAAGAAAGTGCTCGACTGTTACGGCAAGGTAGGCCACCTAGTTTTGTATGGGTGGCTGGAATTGAAGTCCCATGAGTTAATGTTCGTCACAAGACGTCCAGTGAGATTTTGAGATTCCCAGAAGCATTAGTTTGTGAACGTTTCTCGGCGGTTTTAGTGTAAATTATGTTATGTGTCACATTTTCTACGCTCATACAACAATGTGTCAAGCTCGTACAATCATTTTTTTCCATACCCCATGACTGACAGGTTCTTATTGTGCATGGGCAAAACATCCTAGTGCACTGCAGTAGAATGTAAAGGCACGAGCATTCAGTAAAGCCAATGTCCAGGCTTTGTTTGTTGAAGGGCATCATCATATTGATAATCGTGCGAGGCAGCTGGTTTTGTCGAGTCACAGAAATGTCGAAAATAAAGGTTTGGTTAATGTATCTACAAATTAACAGAAATTGTACTAGAGTGTGTTTACATTTCTTCGGGCACATTGTTCCTCTTCCATTTTGTCTGAAATAAGTTGATGACACTAGCACGACTCACTCGTGCTAGTGTCATTGACAAAATTGGCCGCAGACACGCTCGAATCGCGAGGCTTCAAGCACTTCTGGGGAGGCACGCCGGGCAAGGAGCGCTCTTCCTTGGCCGCACATTTGATTATAATAAACAAGTACCTCGTGGGAAAAATTAAAACTATGCAGAAACTTAACATAAAGTCTATATCTAACCCCCCGATGCATTGGCAACAAGCACAAACCTCCCAGACATTCACAAGAGACCAGCAAAAGACATGAAAACCAAAACCGAAACCAGAACAAGCCTTACCGACGCGCAGTTGTTGACGTTCCGGGCTTACTTTACGGATTGTGGCTGTCAGAACTGAAATGCAATGATTCGACTCACTCATGCTCAACAAAAAAATCGACCGCAGACGGCCTCGAATCGCGAGACTTCCAACGCTTCCGAAAAGGTGCACCGCGCGACGAGGACACAATGTTCGCAGCACGGAGTGCCCTTCCTCGGCTGCGTGTTCGGTTACGATAAATCGTAGTCTCATGGGGGAAAAAAGAACCACACGGAAACTGGAACTAGAGTGTCCATTCTAACCACCGGATGCCGTGACTTGTCCAGAAACGCGTCGGAGGCTTTGCAATAGACCTCGCAAATCGTCAAACAGAGTTGACCGATTTTGACGGGCACGGTACAGAAAGCGTTAAAGGTTGGAGCCTAACAGGCAAGCTGACTAAACAGTAGAGGTTGGTTTACGCACTTGTGTCGAGTCCGACCGAGTGCGACTGCAACGGCTTGCGACGTATGGGTTGCTATGGTGACAGCTCCGTGGGGTCCTACAGAACGGGGTAAACAGTAGTTTTGTTGGAGCCGACGCGGCTGTTGCCATAGCAACTCGTATGTCTCGAGCCGTTGCAGTCGCACTCGGTCGGACTTGACGCAAGTGTGTTAATTGCCCTTGACTGTCTATGCACAGCTGGACATTCTGGTGAACAATGCGGGTCGGAGCCAGCGTGCCGCCTTCGAGGAGATCCCCCTGGAGGTGGACAGGGAAATGCTCGACGTGAACCTGCTTGGACCCGTGTGCCTGACGCGCACCGTGGTGAAGCACTTCAAGGAGAAGGGCCAGTACGGGCACGTTGTGGTCACGAGCAGCGTGGCCGGCAAGATCGGTGAGTGTGGGTGGGCAGAAACGCCGTGCCATGTGTGGGGAGTGCGTTGCAGGTTTTTTTTTCAGAAAGTCTGGTTCAGACATTTATGTTCAACCCTGCTCAAACGCGTCACATTTTTTTTATGATTGCTTGACACACTGGCACCGTCTATCTGGAAGCTCCAGAACACCTCTCACCCACTTGTATATTTTGATAAAGGGAAGGCCAGCTTTCGACATGAACCGCAGGCTGCAGACGCCACCATTACCCCTTTCTAGTTTTCCAACAAATGCGTGTGCAGGGCAGGCAACATCCTTATGTTGAGACTGCTCACCTCGCTCTTAATCATGCTGCTTTAGCTGCAACTTTGAAGGTTGTGTACTACTTGATTTTTGTTTGAGGAGAATTCTTTTATGGTGTTTCTGAATCTGCTTGGAATCTCCAGAATGCAACTGAAAGAAAGTGTTTTAAGGTAATGAAATTAAGAAAATGTCCTCACGAAAATTGGGTTGTTTATTTTATAGTACCCTAAAATACAAAATACTTCGAGGCTGCATCGTCAATATCGATACATAGCCAGGTGGTGCTTACGGCGCTTTAATACATATGCATGGTGCCAAATTATAAATCCCTGGTTACACCCCCCCCCCCCCTTACTTAATGCCCGTGAAGTAAATAAATAAATAAATAAATAAATGAATGAATGAATGAACCCCCCCCTTCCCTTCCCTCTCCTCCCCTCCCGTCCTCAAGTTGTGGGGGGTCTCAGCCATCGCTCTATTGTATCTAAAGACTCTATCAAAGATACATGTAGATCTTTGACATCGCCCTGCCCTGCTTGACAGCACTGAGTTTGCTTGCCTCACTATGCTTAAAAGGCCACTCCGTTCGAAAGCGAAACCAAAATAAAAGACTGGTATATCACTTTAGTGGCACGAAATATGATCGTAGCCGAAATATTATGCCAAAGTGAAGCCGCATACTCAAAGCCAAATTTAAAGATACGACCAGCTGATCTTTAGCGATTGACAGTGGGTTAGCCTTAGGTCAAGGACCACTGGGCGACGCGTACCGCAGCACCCCTCTGACGTCACGTCGCGGGTGAGAAGCGGTGGATTTCGCACACTGTACCATGCACTGCAGCACCACGGTAACGTCGTGTTGCGGCTGTACAGCTGATGATCAGTGTTGCCATCCCTCTGGCAGATAGTTTCGGTTTTGCTGTAGACGCCCGAAACCAAACTTTGAGGCACGGTATTTATAAAACTACTACACACAATATAGAGAAAAAAAAGCTTGCACCTTGCAATTCAGGCACGCCGCTAAATTCGAAAATATTGAGCGGAGTTATTAACGGGGAAGCAGACCTGGGAAGATGGGGCAGTTAATATGTATGAACGGTAGAAACATTGGTTCAATTGTCTATCTTGGAGTGGTAGAATCATTGGTTCAAGCGTCTCACTGATCAGAGAGGCTCTTTAGAGCCTCTCTGATCAGTGTGAGCACGGGTGTCTATTTCCTTTATGGAGTTGGGAAAATTTGTTTCAAGACTGGTACGTAGTTATAACTGTTCACATAAACCACAGCAGCAAAGAAAAAAAAGTGTGTTATGATTTGACATTCTGGGAAAGTTTACACAACTGTAAGACATCAACAAGAAAAAAAAAATTAAAATTTCCTTCTGAAGCTAACATGTCTGCGAGTCGCAGTTACCCTTTATCACCGACTACTTGCCGCGACGATACAGGATGCGGACGCCATATCAGACTGTCTTTCAAGTTTTGGGTTCTGATTGTAGTGATGCAAGCATGTTTCAAGGATCATACAAAGATTTTTACAAGTTATGTATTATACTGCCATGTACTACATTTAGTGGTATCACCCCGTACATTTAGGTAGTGTGTTTAGTGGGAACACTGCTCTCAGCACATGACTACACGCTTTGTCATGACACCCCTACCTTGAGGTCATACTTTGAGGTATTCGTCTTTATATCTGCTCCAGCTACGTGTTTATTGAAGTTATTTTTCCTAATTATTTGCTTCCTCCTCGATTACTTCCAGGTGCCCCATTTTCAGCGACGTACACTGGTTCAAAGCACGCACTTCAGGTAACTGAGCTTTATGTTTATTTTTCCAACATGAGTACTTCTTTAAAACAAAAGACAGCATGTTTGGATCTGTCTTGTTTTTGATGCCCGGAAAATAGTTTCTCGTGCTTTACTTCGTGAAACCTGCGACCCACAGTTTGCACCAGTCAGGACTGAAATCCTCGTGAATTTACGAATGAACTAGGCAACCTCCAAGCACAAGTTCAACAAACATGTGTAATAGGACAACACGCGGGCCAGCTTGGCCCTCGACCGAAGTGACTCCGGGTAAGCGCCGAACCACAATATAGCCGCTCAGCGTGGTGTCTCCTGGTGGCCACCTTAAGTCCATGGCACTAGCTGTCACCACGACAGTTGCCTGGTTGCCTTCCTGGGTCGCATAAGTTATTAGGTTGCTTAGAGGAAACTTGGCTAGAAACATGCACATTCTGACAGAAACCAACCTCTTATCCTAATCTAAAACTTCAACTCTTTATGCAGCTGTTTCTTCCTTTTTTTCATTGTCATCGTTATCATTGGTTCATTTTGTGTGCTCATGAACAGCTAATTGCTTGGATTGGGACGCACAAAAAAAAACATTGCACATTTTGAGGTGTCAATGCTCGTTCACCGATGTCGTTACGCAATATTTACTGTGGGTCATGAAACTAGCAAAGGCTGTAATTGAAGGGGTACTGCAATGAAACTCTGGCTCCTTCTTTTATTGTCTTTATGTCAACCACGGTCTGGCCGCACCACTGAGACATCAATTGTTTGCTTGAAAAGACGCCAAAACATTATTTAAGACAAACGACCCGATTACCAGATTACACCCGATGGGCATTCCCAATTGTTGTTACGTAATACTTCCCATAAAAGCTGCGCCTCTTCGCAAAATAATGACGGCAAGCTGCGCGCGCACGAGACGTGTCGAATTTGGTTGAACCAGGTTTCCCTTCTCTCCGGCACCTATTTAATTCCTGCGGGGGGACAGGGAGCTGGCCTCTCGAACGGCCAGGTCGTAACACGTTGAAGCCACCAAACGGAGAGGCTTGCGACCATGCCAGCCTTGCCGTTGCCTTACCCAGGAAGTTAAAGACGACGTCATGAGCGCTCCGGAAGCGCTGGATATCCCAAGACGCGTCGCACTCTCCGACGGCTGCACTTTCAAGCGCTCGCTGGAGTCGACCATTTGGAACAAAAATTATAGCCGTCCGTTCAGTATACAAATGTGCGATTGTCATTAGGAGATTTTGTTGATTGTGTTAAATGTGTTTCTAAAGGTGAGAGGTCTATTTCAATTTTCATTTCAGTATCCGCTTAACAATAGGAAATAGCGGTAGCACCAAATCACAACTAAGGAATGTAATGTACAGTAGGCAGATGAGTGAATTGTAGAAATAGAATGGAATATTTTTTGCGAAATTACCGAAACGCAATGCTGGCAGCTTCAGTATTCCAACTTAGGGTCTCCTAATTACCTGTCAGGTGCGCTAACCCTTGCATCCTTCTGCCCAAAAGTAAAAAGGAAACAGAAGATAACAGGAGAGCGTGGCGGGAATCAAAGTCGGCGGGCAGCAGAGTTGAACGCTGGGGCGAGACTGACTCCGGCTCGCTACGCAGGGCCCCTTTTGTACATATGTGGGCTTCTGGAACAATCGGCCTAGAAGATTCAGCGCGTAGAGCATTCTGACCTAGAACAAACAACACGGTTCTTGAAATTACGAGAAATCTAAATTGAAAGAATAAATAAAAAGACGCGGCGCTCCCAGGAATCGAACCCTGGGCGATTCCTGGGAGTCACAAGAGTCAAGCGCAGTAACCACTCAGCCACCGAGGCGCTCGCTCGTTGACGCGCGTGACAATATGATGCTTGTGGCACATGGTACGGGCTAGGTGCGCTCCAGAGGCCCTCTCACTTTTTGTCCCACCACATATGCATGCATGCTTTCTTGTTTGTGTGCTCTGGAAGACTATAGCATCACCGGCGAGAGTCAGGAGCCTAATCACAGGGCATTTTCATCATCTTATGGGATCTGTAAAGGGGATGTAATGCGGGTGAATGAACCGTATTGATAAAATGGAACAATTGTTACGAAGCCGCCGAAAGACAAAATTTTTGGCGGCACCAGGATCCAAACTGAGGGTCTCTCAGGTAAAAAGACAAGGTTGTTTGGTGCAGCGGTTAGCATACCCGTCGGGTATGCTAACCGCTGCACCAAACAACCTTGTCTTTTTACCTGCACACCATGTGGCACAAAGATTTTGGTCGTGTTCTGGATTTTGTTCGGGTTCATTTTCTCCCGCGATTCCTCGTCCTTTCAGCACCCAGGAAAAGGAACCATGAAACAATATTTTGGCTTTGAATTTTACTGGTGCAACATGGTGTTGAGGCATACGGAACGCCCTGAATAAGGTGCTACTACAGTCGCCGACCGATTTTTCGGACGCCGATAATTAGGAATTGTTCGATATTCCAAACATTGATGGAAAACCGTGACTTAACCAATTGAAGTAGTACATATTAACGACCAGTTTTTCGGATCGTTTGCAGCCCGAAAGCTTAATTGTTTGGACTAAAGTATGAGTGGCAGCCGCCAAGAGGCTGCCATCTTGGATTTTTTCACTGGCTTGATCGTGGGCTTGGCTTGATGGTTCAGGTGGATTTGGATAGGTTTGGCAGAGTACTATTTTAATGCTGCCTAACCAGCCACTAAATGTCCTCTGGTGTGCATTTTTTTTGTTGCTTCGCATCGTCATTATCATTATCGTCTTGGTTTCTTTGTTTCGTCGATTTTTCATCTCCAACCAAAGCCAGTCACTGTTTATAAAGTGTGGAGTACGTCTTCGCACCTACATCTTGCGGTTTTTGACCTCAGGCAGGCCCCGCCTCTTGCACCTCCGCCAGATGCCCCGAAGAAGTGACACAAGTACTCTACAATGACGCTGGAGAAGAAAGCGGCAATTCTAAAGCTTCTAGATAATGGATGGACGCAAGCCGACGTGGCGAAAGAGTTTCAGCTGTCCAAGCAGACGTCATCCGACTATGTGAAAGACAGTGAAGAGATTTTGTCTGCACTTGACAGCTTGCACAACAAGTACCAAAAGAACGACCGAAAAGGAGAACATCCGGCCCCAAAGGAAGCTCTGCAACTTTGGCTTAAAGAAGTTTTTTCCAGGAACCTTCCAGTTTCAAGTGACACCCTCAAACAGAAAGCAGAGATTCTTGCTCTGAAAATGAACATTGTGAACTTTAAGTTCACTGATGGATGTTTGCGTGGCTTTAAGAAGCGACATGGAATTTCGTTTAAGAAAGTGTGCGGCGAGAGTGGAGTCGTTAACCAGACCACTGTCGCGGACTATTGCCTGAACAAGCTAAAGGCGTTACTGCAAGAATCTTCCCCCGAAGATGTTTTCAGTTGGGACAAGACCGTCCTATTTTTCAAAATGCTACTGGACCGGACACTGTTTTGACAGTGACTCCTGCACAGGAGGAAAACACAGCAAGGAAAGAATCATTGTTATGGTCGGGGCGAAAGCGGTGGGCGCCGAGAGGTTGCTGCTCCTCCTCTCCGGTAAGGCAAACAACCCCAGGTGTTTTGAAGGGATGAAAAACCTTTCCGTCGACAACAAGAAAGTCCCTTCGTCGTTGTCGGCTCGACAAACGATTCTAGGAGTTTCAACGATCTGGAGGAGCTTGCCATGTGGTATTCCCGCAACACCAAGCCGTGTATTACGCACTGCTTGTTTGAAGACTATTTGTGCCGTCTAGACCGGGTGTTCGAGCATCGAAAGCGACGTGTGGTGATGTTCGTCAATAACTGCAGAGCCCACAGCACTGTGGACAACCTTAAAGCCGTCCGTCTTGAATTTTTGCTCCTTAACACTACAAGTCTGCTCCAGCCAGTGGACCAGGCGGTCATTCAAAATATCAAAGTCCACTATCGTGCTCGTCTGCCTCGCTGCACGGTCCTCTGCTTCGACAACGGGAAGGGCTATACTGTGAACTTCCATGCAGCAATCAAGATGCTGACGGATGTGTGGAAGGCCGTTCAACCATCGACAATTGCCCACTGCTTCAACCACGCAGGTTTCTGTTCCAGTGAAGAGCCCCTAGCTGATAACGCAAGGCTGGACCATCAAGAGGCCGAGGACGTCGCCAGAGCAGTGGATGTCGGCGAGTTTCTGTTCGCCAACCTGCTCGACAGTGGAATAAACATTCCTGATGCTGCTACATTCCGTGCATTTGCAGACCTCAACAAAGACCTCAAACTGTGCGCAGAACTTACGGACGACGAAATTGTGCGCCAAGTCCTCGCACAACCCGAAGAAGACTCGGACACCTCCTCTGACGACGACGATGACCGCCTGCAGCCATCAACAGCGGACAACAAACGTGTTAACATTGCTGTCTAATGTGCACAGTGAGGATATGACGCTGGTGCAAATACAAGTGGACGTGATTGCCCGCAAGCAGAACATAAAACAAGGTACACTTCGTGACTTTTTCAAATCCGCTTAGGCTCAATAAAGCCAAGTATTTAATCTACGGATTTCGGGCTGCTTCATTATTTGGACGCTTTTTCGGTCCCCACAAAGTTCAGAAATTCGGTCGGCAACTGTAATAGTCATATCTTATAGTATACTGACCCTATTAATAGGGATACCCCACTATATATAGGGTTGTTCGTTTTCGGGTTTTATATTTTTTCAAATTCGGGGGGTAAAAATCGGGTGCTATTTTTTAAGCTGATAATCGGGGAGAAATCGGGTTTTTTGTGGAAACATTTCGAAATTTGGGTTTTTTCGGGTTAAATTTACAAAAGTACTCGGTAATACAATCTTTTTTTTTTTTTAGTTTGAGCCGATCACGAGCTTTTTAGTGCTTACGCGTTAAATTTAGGAGTCTGTTTCAAGCTGGTAACAACAGGGTTTTTCAGCTCCGATTGCCGTCAGTCGCTTCAAAGGAATCTCCGCCCACGGAATCCTCCTCTCCCTCGGGTGTCAAAAAAACCCTGACCGTTCGAGGGACGGTCGTCTTCGATCAGATTTTTCGCTATGGAATAAAACTGTGAAGTTTTCCCGATGTGTTTACGCGACTGACTGACTCTGCCGTTCTTCGTGAGGAGGGTTGGACCCAGAGAGATGGCCATGCTACCCGAAAGACCCTGCTGGGCGTCGACACCTCAGGGGTTGGAAGGGGATTGATAGTGCATTTCACAAGCTGCGTGCAGCAGGGCCAAAGCTATGTGGCGTGCCGAGGCGGTTCCCCCTGCACAGCGGGGGGATGGAAATGACCCTCCGAGGCCCCAACACCTATTGTCGCTTTTCCTCAGCCTGCCTCCGTAGAATGTCACAGTGAGTTAGGCACGCTTGTAGGGGGGTGGCTGAGAGTCGTGTGGCATCCATAGTGCTGCACGCAGCTTGCGAAATAAACTATAGGTCACCGTTGTACCGAGGTAGGCTAGCTAGTGTGTGTGCACCGCAAACTTCGTGCGGCGTAAAAATAAATAGGTTGGTTATGTGGTTTTGGAATTCGGGGAGAAATCAGGTTTAACCCGATTCTCCTGAAACATGTTTGGGGTGCAAAAATCTGGTAAAATCGGGTTCTACTCGAAAGCAAACAACCCTATATATGTAGGCAATCCAACATATTTGGGGATGAACTGGGTAAATACATGCATTTTTGTTTTATCATTACACACAGCTCACATTATGGATGCCTTTTGGGGGGACGGTTATGGTTTCAACTACTAGTGGCCAGCCCCAAAGCAGCCACCGTCGGCGGTTAACAAATTTTTGCCGGCTGCACGACACTGGCTCCTTTAGCAGAATGACTTTTAGCAGAAAGGGCATCTATAGTCAGTTACAGGTTAAGAAGGTAGCGGCAAATGCCCCTCAAAGGGAATCAGATATCCCTCCGCCACCTTTGCATCCAATAGCGTCCCACCGTTTCCGTGACGTCGCGGACAACGCGCGAGGAGGGTCTTGCCTTTCTGTACATATTTGCTTTATCTTTCCACTTTGACTTAGCACTGTGGAAGCCACGAGAGGGAGATTAGAGTTCTACCCCACCGACGGAAACAAATACGACTTTCGGGGATTAGCTTCCCCCCCGATGGATACAAAGGCTGCTTTCAGGGGCTCGGTTCCCTCTCCGATGAATACAAAGGTCGCTTTCGTAAAAAGTGGGATCGGAGACAAGTGGGAATCCATTGAAGCGGAACAAGGAGCGTTTCCAGTGAACTCTTCTTTCGACTGCGGAGAGATTTGAAAAGGGCGCATCACACTTGTGGGAGGAGCTTCTCCTACCTTCTTGACTTGTAACCGACTATAGTAAAGTTGACCTCCAGGGTGCCGGCGGGCACAGGCACAAGGGGTGTTGAATGCGACTTCCGATTTGCAGGGCTACTTCGAGTGTCTGCGGCTGGAGGGCGTGATCCTGGGTGGACTGGATGTCACCCTCACCTGTCCCGGCCCTGTTTTCTCGAGAGTCCGCGAGAGGGCCTTCACCGCCGTTCCCGGCCAGGTTGGTGCCTCGCCCCAATCTCGCACCCTGTTTACGAGACATCCGAGAAAAGTGTGACTCGAGGCACTGTAAGAGATTGCCACACGTTCACCAAACTTAGCAGACTGTGTTCAGGGCCCTCAGTAACGTGACAGCGGTCACGGGACTCGACATTGTGTGACCACGTCGCACGGTGCAACATGACTTAGTGTCACCTGCCACTGTGCCATCACACGACTCGAGATCGCCCGACACCACAGTGCATTGCCGAGTCAGGCGACACCACTAAATTTCTCGCGCCCCATTTGTGGGAATGTACATATTGCCGAAAACGCGCTGCACGTCCTGTTTCCCGATTGTTTGTAGGACTAAGGCGAACAATGGGCGGATTCGATTTACCCATACCAGCCTGCACGGGTGCGGAAAAGTGTGGCGCAGTTAAGCGAGGTGTAGGGCAGCGTACTTCCAGTTGTGTCTCGAGGTAGGCTGCGCTTGTACATCGAATATTGACTGTGCGCACAGAGTGAGGCGGGTGCGCGAACTGCGAGTAAATCGAATGCAGCAGGCGACAATTGGGCCAGTTGGTAGTTCGTCCGAAGTACAAACGGTGCAACGGCACAGACCGAGTTCTAGGAAAGGGTCTCGTTCTACTAAAGTATATATAATTTTTTAAACCGATCGTTACATGGCAGACGTTTAATCTGGGACGCGACGTCGGCGTCGGTCTTGGCTGCCAGTCCCAAACCGTCTCTCCTAGATGTTCTGGTAGTGCTGGGTGCTTTACCCATAGCCCTTCACTCTGTGTGCACCCTGGCGGCTCCTCAGCCGAGTTGCCCGATAATGTGTAGGTTGGTGCACGGTCCTCCATGCGTCCTCCTCTCCCGGCACTTCCATGCAACACGTCCCTCCCTCGGCCGAAAGGAGAGTGGCGGTCCCCAAATGGGGGGGGGGGGACATGGGGGGCGTCGGCTTTCGTCGCGCGTGGGGTGTTCCGAGAACGCTGTCTGGGGCATGTGTCAGTGGAGAGGAATGTGTGGCCACCGCTACGGCTGTCAGGCGCACACCACAGAGTAAAGGAAGACTGACGAACAACGTTGCAGTCGTCTGTCAGTCATTTTTTACTCTGTCCCCGTTGTTGCACCGTTGATACTTTTAAAGGGGAGGTGCAACAATATACAGTTGGAAAGTTCTTCACCTTATGCGTGCTTACTGGTACTAGTGAGACCTAAGTATGCTCGCAAGCAACTCCATTTGTAATTTCAAAAATAAAACTGAGCATTTTCTTATTTTATAATATTTTCTTGACAGAGCTTGATGACGTATTGTTTGGAGGTCGCAGTGTATCCGAGCAGCGATTTTTAAATTCAGCTCGTAGATTGGACCCAACCATTGCGTGAGCACTCCATTTGGGCTCGCAACAATCAATGGTTCGACAAGCATTCGTGCAGTGGTTTTTTCTCAGTCGCTCCGATGATGACAATAGCCAATCCCTAACAATGTCTGGAACTCGACATACGTCCTTGTGCTCTGCCAACCCCAGTGCGGGGCTCTTGATTAACATTTGTGCCATATAATTGGTTCCAGAACACGTGGCCGCTTGTTCTGGCTGCGAGCTGAGAGGAAGAACACTGCTTGTCTTAGAGCGGAGCTCTTGGGCGTCCTTTTCCGCATATAGTGGTGCCGCCGTGGGAGGGGGGGGGGGGGGATATGGAGGAAGGGGGTAAGGTATGCAGGATCAGGAGGGGAGGTTACAGAGGAGGAGGGGAGAAGGGTACGGAGGAGGGGCATACCCTCCCCCACCATGGGCTCCCCTCCTCCTCCTCAAGAGCTGCACTCTAATTTTGCATTACAAAGATTTGTAAATGCCTTTCATTTTCTTCTTTGATTTTCTTTTTTTTTTCTATTAACTTGGTGCTTGGATAAAAATTAATGCATGTTTTATAGCTTATAAACGTCTGGGATTCATTGTAAATGGCATTCACACGAGGTACAAAGAATGTTACACCACCCCTTTAAGGATTACGGAGCGTTAATTTTTCTTTAAACTGGTTTCGATTGGGGGGGCAGCCTTAGGTTGTGGTCTCGACGTCAGTCGAACGGAACTCTTTGTCTGACCCTTTTGCAAACCCTTGGCAGACGTACAACATGAAAGACTCACCCCAGTCCCGGCTCATGCAAACCGACCGCTGTGCACAACTCATTGCGGTGGCAATTGCAAACAAGATGGATGAAGTATGGATCTCGGAGAACCCCATCTTGCTGAGCATGTACCTGTCACAATACATGCCCAGCATCTTCAGGAAGTGAGTACTAGCTTTGAAATCAAGTTTTCCTTAGGTGCAAACCACTCTTAAAGTAATAGACCAGGGGTGGCCAAACTGCAGCTCTTTGCGGCTTCAGGTGCAACTTACGACACCCTGATAAGCGTACCGCCTCCCCCTGCAAGATAAAAAGGGAAAAGTTATAGAATAAATGACCGCTTGCATTTTGGCAGCTTTTCCGTCGTTCGTACTGGTGTGAGGTACTCCTTTTAACAATAAAAGCAGTAAAATCAAAACCCGCACAAACGCTGCTTGGGACAGCAACGACGTCATTTGGGTTAAGTGCTTGTTTCATGAATGGGGGTGCACAGTAGAAACATGTTGAGCAATCGTTTTACGTGTAGAATTCAGTGTGGCTACCAAACTGAATTTAGAAAGCTGCAACACCCCCTTTTTACTGTGTTCCTTCACTTAATATATTTACTATTTTTTATGGCTCTCTGCGTACCGTAATTACCCGATTCTAACGCGCCATTTTTTCAAGAAAAATACAGCTAGAAATGGCATGCGCGGTACAATCGGATACGAAACCGAAACAAAAACTGAAATCGCGCTACCGGCAGTCTCACTGTCATCGCTATTACAAGATGGCGGCGTAGCCTCTGCGCAACAGTGCAACACACATGGTCTCGTGGTCGCAATCTCGTCTTGAATTTCGGAACCTGGGGAGCTGCTTTAGTTATTTGCTTTGTTGTCAGTTGTCAGCGTCGCCAAGACTGACAACTCATACTTACGGAGCTCAAATGGCCTCTGCATCAGCTAAGGCGCGGCATTTTCATTACAAGGTTGGCCTTAAGAAGAAAGTTTGTTTATTTGCCGAGACGAATGGCAACTGAGCCGCTTCGCGTACTTTCGGTGTGCCCGAAACTTGTGTTCGTGACTGGCGAAAGCAAAGAGAAAAGATCTTCGCAAGCAAGCCGACCCGGAAAGGATTCAATGGTTCGCTTGTTCTTTGTGCACAAACACCGATTTTTCTTGCGCATGAAAACGGGGCACGCTAGAATCGGGTAATTACGGTAGGTCTGCCTGGCCACCCCTGTAATAGACCATTCCAATTCACATTGGCACAGCTTCATGCAAATGGCGGGGATGCCATTTGCTCCAAGCTGTGCCAATTCTATTCTTCTTTGCCAGTCTGCCCTCATGAGTCAACCATGTGAGAGAGCCGATTGTCCTTATAAAAACTATCAGAATTTTGCTGTTGAGGTGTAGATGTAAAAGATAAGCCCATGCTGGTTGCGCTGAGACTGTAGCTACATGACAGTTATATAAGTGGAATAGCCACTGGCATGAGAGCAAGATGGGGCTTTTAGCAACATACCATAGTGGTGATGCTTCGCAAAGGGTGTTCATTGCAGTTGGAATGTACAATTAATTTAATGATTCCAATTCAAATTATTATAGTAGCTGCATATTGCTAAAAAAAGTTTTTGTTTATTGCAGTGCTTACTTCTTTTCTGATCAATGTACCAAATACGCTTAATTGAAAACAAGCAAACCATAATGAAAGTCTATCACAATTTGTTTCCGTCGTAGTATTTCAGCGTTTTTTGTAGATTTAATACCGCTAAAATGGTGAGGAGAAAAAAAGAGACTGAAGTTCCTCCTCTCTTATTGCTACTGAACTTAAAAGTAGGTACTGCATCAATTTTTTAAACCACCCCGACTTACTATATGAATTGTCAGCATGGTATTTAATACTAAAAAAACTCTGAGTAATCATTGTAACATTGGCTAATGAAACCGATGGGAAAACCAACATTTAATATGCTCTTTGGAGGGAACAGCGCAAAAAGGACGTAGGACGAGGTCGAAGAAACACACAGACAGGGCGCTGACTTACAACTGAAAGTTTATTGCTCTGAAGAAAGAGAAATAAACACAGAAAGGAGGAAGGGGAGAGAACAAACAAATCAAACCAAACCAAATCAAATATGCTCGGCTTTTCCGTCTCGTGACGTTGCTGGCAGCAGGATTGCAGGTCGAGCAGACAGTCTAGAAAACAAAACACGCCACACATTTGTTTGGTGCTGCTGCGCGGGTGCCGGAGCAAGCTTCCAAAGCATTTACCCGACGTCCTCAAACTTGTAATCTGTTGGGAACAAATTCTACTGATGAAAGAGTGAACCCCTGCCTGCCGCTGGCATCACTTTTTTATTGTTGCCAGTAGAGACTTCCAGTTTGAAAGAGACAGCGAGGACTGAAAGTGTAAATTCGATTTCTCTACGAAAATTATATCGGCCTAACATTTGGGTTTCTCGTTCAGTTATTTATTTGTGTAGTGTGTTTGGTGAATTTTGAGGCAAATTGGGGACCATGAAAGAACCACCAGAGTGTATCTCAGACAACCCGAATATTGTTTCAGGAGGTTCTAAGTGAGAGGTTTTCCTGGCAGCTCGTTTTATCAATTCCCGTAACTAAAATTGAAGAAGTCTCACAACCTTTTCTTTACTATTGTGCTGTTATTAACATGGCCCAATGAATCGGCCTCATGCTACCCTGACTCATTATGCTTAACGTTCTTCCTTTCCAATCTTTCTCATTTCTCTTTTCAGCTACATTATAAAGATTTTCTTCACAAAGGAACGGGTGATGAAGTTGAGAGAAGGCCAGTAGGAACACGGTGCTCTGCCATTTTTTGTCTTCTGGTAGACTCTATAACTGGGCATTTTTAAGCACTATGCGGACGTAAGTGCAGCGCACAACGTTCACAGCCAAACGTGTACAGTTTGCACTTCACCGAAGGGAAGTTGCAGGTTTTGTTGTGTTTGGAGTAAATAAAGTATACTTCAGTTGGGTTTTTTTAACTGGAAAGTGATAGCTTGATTGTGAGTGTTTTTTGCAGCCTTTTTCATGATGGGCTTGTCTAGTCATTCAGATTGTGCTAGCGTCCAGACCTTTCACACATGCTTTGTTGTGTGATGTGCTCCATCAGACGCCCTCATAATGAATGCCTCCTTGGTGGATGTACCCATTGAACAAAGTACACTGATTTCTGTCCTAAAAGTAAACAAAACGTCTTTCAAAGAGCAGAATATTCTGGCAACGAGGTGCTGAATGTGGATGTATCTGGTGGTCCATGGAAGGTGCAAAAGAGTGATTTTTCCCGTGAAAAATTTACTATTTGAGCCTGAAGTTTAATGATCATGTACGGTTCAGATATTAATTCTTAGATTGGAAACCAATATTTCGGTTCTGGACCACTGCAAGTGGCACTTCACATTTTCAGTGTGAGAGGGTAGGTTATGTACTAGTAGTGATGTGACAGCGAGGCGATTGTTGCCCCATTTGCGGGAAAGTGCTGACCCTGCTACATTGTGCCACATTTTGCAAAAATGTGACAACTTTTTGTCAACATTGTGCCAAGATGTTTGACTTTATTAACACTAAAAATATAATCACCGAGGCCCTGCTATATCGCCGGATTGTTGCACTAGGCTTGCCCGAATTTTCAAAACCTTAGATTATCACCTTAAATAAGACACTACTTGATTTGATCTCTGTATCAAGTCCTGACAGTACTCAGAAGTCGTGCAGTATTTCTCATTTTTGTGGTCTGTTCTGGTGGCTTAGGTAACTTTTGTTGAGTGCACTTCTCACTACGCACTGGTGCACTGTAGCGAAGCGAGAACCGCAGAGTAGGCACCGCGATTTTGTCTTGTTTCGCCACAGTGCATCTGCGTGCTAAGGGGAAAGCACCCCTCCAATGCAGAATGCTGCAATAAACACACAAACGTCGAGTAAAAAAAAAAATCTTGGTAAGTATTAATGTAACAACTCAACCTTGAATTTAAAAGTTCCGGATAAGACTGCAGCTAATGTATATGATAGACTTCAATATTCTGACGATATCATTTTCAAACGAGATTTAGCGAGGATACTTGTGTATTGTGGGAAGATTTATATGAATGACTCAACTATAAGCTTATATTTTAATGTGAAAGCATTAACTTGGTCCCATGTAGCGAGCCGGCGTTATCAGTCTGAAGCGCAAAAACGTCACCTTAAATCCTTTCTCCAAGTGAAGCCAGCTCCCAGCTATGAAACAATGCGAAAAGCCTAGACAACGGCACCTAATTTCCCCAATCCCAAAGGAGCGGAGTAAAGCTGATGTCGGCTTCAGTCCCATTGGCTGGCGCACGTCGACGAGGTTCCCATAGGCCGCTGCGCGTCAGTTTTAACGACCTCTCACCGCATGGCGCTGCGTGTCTGTCAGCATGCCGTTAACACGGAGCGTCCAAGGTCAGCACGCAAGCCCAGGAGAGCGTGCGCGTTGACCGGCGACGAAAAGTATGCAGCAGACGAAACAATTGGGAGCGGACAAGCGGCTTGCATGCTTTCGCATTCACAACTTATAAAGAGTGTTTAGGTGTACCTTAAGCCTTTTTAATGTCAACTATCGTTTAGTTGTCACCTTTACATGGGTTCTACCTGTGTGATGGCACAGTTGAACAGAGTAGATTAAAACTAGATTAGCTGGAGCGTTTAACTGGATATTTTCTGAGTTCTACATCTAAAACGTAATTGAAGTTCATAGAGTGTTTTGTGTGCTCGGTAATATTCTGTCCTAACATTATTTTTGTAGAATACAATTTAGTTTAACTTTGTCTTTGTAGCTAAAAACCATTCAGAGCATTTCATACATCTGTCCTTCATCGGTCACCACATTATTGTCGTGCCCCGTGCTTGTAGACCCAACTAAACAACCTGTTCAGTGAATGAGGCACTTGAAGGCACCAAACCTGCCGTACAATTGATGCTAACAAAGGTTGCACAGAAGTGGGAAGGCAAAGTACTCGGTGTCTGAATGGACAAGCCACACACTAACTTTAACATAATATTTGCAGTGGTGGTTATTCAAATGAAGTGTGTGCTTAGACTTCAAAGGTTGGTTTTGTATCTCCAAGATGTGCTTCGAAATAAGTTGGACCAATCGCATCACCGATGTGATTGCGGCGTCATATGCGCCAAAGTGTTCCGACATTTCGCCAAGATGGAAAAAATGTGTACGAGCATTATGGAGGTAGGAAGCTTCTGGAGGTGACATGGGGCCACCAGGGGTGAGGCTGGGGGAGACTTCCTGTTTAAAGGGACACGCCCCGAACAAAACTCGAGGAGCGTAGCCAACCATACCTCGGCAAATTCATTGATGAACTCGCTCACTCACCTTCATTCACATTCACGGCGTGAATCTGAATGGCTCTGAATGAATTCTTGAAATTGAAAAAAAATCATGATGTGATGGTGAATGACTTTGTGAATTTAAATGAATTCGTGATGTGATGGTGAATGAATTCGTGAATTTGAATGAATTCGTAATGTGATGGTGAATGAAGTCGTGAAGTCGTGATGTGATGGTGAATGACTTCGTGATTTTGAATGAATTTCTGATGTGATGGTGAATGAAGTCGTGATGTGATGGTGAATGACTTCGTGAATTTCAATGAATTCGTGATGTGATGTTGAATGAAGTCGTGATGTGATGTTGAATGAAGTCGTGATGTGATGGTGAATGACTTCGTGAATTTGAATGAACTCATGATGTGTTGTGATTGTGAATGACTTCATAAACTGAAGAGAATTCATTGTGATGTGAATAACTCAATGAATTCGTGACGTGATAGTGAATGGCTCGTGAACACGATTGATTTGTGATGTGAGTGGCTCGTGAAGTTGACAAGTTTGTGATGGGAAGTAATACCGTGAACTTAATTCTCGACGTGATAGTGAATACGGTTATTAATTCAGAATAGTTTGAAAACATGTTACGCGGGTGCTTGTTTGCTTGCTGGTTGTTTTCATCCTTCACCGCAAACGACAGGAACCGATTTTACTTTAGCGGTTTGGGCATCAGTCTCGCTGCGTAGCCGTGCGCGCCTCAGCGCAGTGGCTCTGTGTCGAGCACTTTCAAAGTACCAGCTGTTTATAAGGGAAGTGCGGTGGCAATGGCAATGACGAGACGAAGACGAAGCCGACGTCACGAGCAGGCGCACCTGATCCGGCGCCGAGACCATATCAAGTGACCTGCCGGTTCGGCGTGGCGGCGCATGGAACACATTCCGGTGACACAATCGCAGCGCGGCATTGGCTGGGTCGGCGCTCTATCAATGTGTTTTGAGTTTCGCGCACTCGAAATACCCCACTTCCCCGACGAAGTCAGGTCCTGGTTTCAAGTGGCAGACATAAAAAGTCGCCACAGTCCTATTCCGCAGGAACTGCGAACTCGTGAAGGGCTACCAGCCGTGAAGTCGGATTTAGTCAGAATGAACCTGAAAGAGTTCGTGAATTATGCGGAATTCATGATGTGATGGCGAATTCCGGTGAATTCGTGTTGACCGTGATGGTGAATAACTTCGTGAAGTGATGGTGAATTCGGATGAATCCATGATGTGATGGTGAATTCGGATGACCTCGTGAAGTGATGGTGAATTTGGATGAATTCGTGAAGTGATGGTGAATTCGGATGAATTCATGATATGATGGCGAATTCCGATATATTCACGATGGTGAATTCCGATGAATTCGTGGTGATAGTGAATGACTTCGTGAATTGGTGATGTGATGGTGAATGGCTCCGTGAATTCGGAGGCGGCGGTGATGTGATGGGGATGAATTCTTGGCGCGGTTGAACGCCGTGATGTGAAGGGGATGAATTCTCGGCGGAGTTTGAAAGCCGTGATGTGAAGGGGATGAAGTTTTGGCGCGGTTGAACGCCGGGGTGTGATGGGCCGTGACTTTGGGAGGTCGGAGTTTCTTGTGACGTGAATGCGAATGAATTTGGAGACGTGATTTTGTTTGTGATGTGATGGTGAATGAAGGGGCTCTAAAATGCCGACCTATGTAGCCAACACGTTAATGGGCAGCTAAACCTGGATGCAGTGGTTTCCCCAGGAATTGAAATTAAGGGGGGTGTCAGAATTTCTACGTATGGGGGGGAGGGGGAGGGGAGGGGAGTGGAGTGTTAAGGGAGAAGCGGTAGTCATTTTTAATTTATTTGTGTCGTTCATGTGTCACGTAGGACTAGCAACGTTTATAAACAGGCAAAACTACAGAACAAGGACTACATAAAATGTGTCAAGAAACTATTTGGCTGTTCAGACTATTAGCAATAAACTGTATAAAAAACAACAACAAAGAAACTAGCTGTTCAGCACCACTTGCGTAGCGCAGACGTGGAAGACCAGGAAGTGGAATCCATGCTCAACACTGTACACAGACGTGGAAGGTGTATATCGGAGCTTTGATATCAGCCATGACGATTTGCATGGCACTGATACATATAGATTATTATTCCGTGTCATCGCCCACCCCCCTGCCGCCTGAGATTCATAAAAAAAACTAGGGTGGGCCATGTCTCGGTGGGTAAGTACAAAAAGTTGAGAAAAAGCTAAAGAAAACGCCAATTTTCTACATATCTAGCGCGGCCACACAAGAAACACATTAAACTCAAAACTCGTATCAGTTCCGTTCTTTTATGCAAGAAATGCTCACGAACGTCTCAACCATTGAGACGTTCCCCTCTGCTGTCTTTCTTTTTTTTTTTACTTTAAAGTTGCTTTTTTTGTTTCTGCACCACAGTCTGAGCTGTTCCATTATGATTAATTATCACCAGTTCGCCTGCACTCACTCTTTTTTTCGTAAAGTAGAGGACACACCTCTGCGAGAGGATTGCTTGCGTAAGTTACGGGGCCAGTACGTTAATCCCCTTGGGTGCAACAGGCCAGTGCAAGCGGCGCCAAACTCAAAAGTCTGAGGGATTTTCTTTTTAATTTGGCGCTGGTTCTGAAAATAACTACTCTGTGGCCACTTCAAATATTCGCCAGCATTTCCGAAAATAAGTGGTGCACCCCCGATTACCCCAGGGGCAATATACACCAGTTAGAAAAACACTGTATAGGGCAGTGGTCTCAAACTCATTCAAGCGTAAAGGCCAGATAGACCGCCCCCAAAAAGTCGAGGGCCAACTGGGAAGGGGAGGGCATACTTTGTTATTTGGGGACTAAAATAAACAAACAAGCACCAGTGGTGTGTCGCGTTGCAAAACAGTCGACTGTCCCATCGACTCCCTAGTGAATTTATAGGGGAACCTTGTGGGCTTTCTGCTTTTAGTAAACTCACCGTTTTGCCATCTTTAGCTTTCATTTGCCTATATGACTACTTTGGACCCATCCCGATGTTATAAAAACATCAACGTACTGGCAGTTTTCAATAGAACGAAGCTAGCACCCCTTTCTTGCCCTGTCGCACAATAGCTCAGCAGGCATAAACAATATCTCCTCATACTGCAGTTTTTGCTTTCCTGGCGAATTTCATAGCAACATTATAAGAATATACCTGCATTCTAGAGGTATGTATTTTCTGGTCTATAGTCCACGGACTATACACTTTTGAAAGTTGAAAATTCAGCCGATGCAGACTATCTACAAGCACGGACCATACAATGATTTGTTTTTTTCTAGATCGTTCACTGTGACAAGTCATGAAGGATTTTATGAGTAACGGACTATATAAGGTGGATTTTAGTATGATAAAGCTTCTTTGTGAGCTAATACAGTAGGCATTTGTCAAGGTGTGCTGTGTTTGATACTTTTTAAGTTCGGAATAGGCACCAAGTGCGGACTATGCACGGGCTGCGGATTATGTACCGGGTGCGGACGATCTAAGCAAATACTTTATTTTTGACTTAAAATTTGTTTTTGACGGTCAGAAGCCTGAGGTCATAGCTTTATTTTTGATAATTTCCCCTGCCTAGCGTGAGTTTGTGCAGCCGAGGTGCCTTTTTCAGTGAAGGGCGATCGGGGCTCGGAAGCAAAGATTTAGATGAAAAAATACTCAGCCTCCTCCCCCCCCCCCACACACACACACACACACACGCACAAAACAAAAAAAAAGCAACAGTGCAGAGTATATGAACACGTGATGTGAGCAGAGGAGCTTTCGAGCTCGATGAGATCGAAATATAAGGGGAGCTCTTGCCCGTTTGTTGTCCCCACACTTCTGTGTTTACCCACCACAAACCCTGTGGGCATGTCCAGAGCCTTTTATACTGGGAGAGTTCGGCGGGTGGGAGGGGCTTACGGCCCGCTAGGTCTAGCGGACTCAGCTGGCGCCGCTTCCGCCATGATGTGCCTCCCGGCGAGTGGGTCCCCATTGACATGCGATGTATACCCGTGTAGGTTTTGCCGTTTGCGCTTTTGTTGGCGTTAGGAGAAAGTCGAAAAATCAAGCATTTTGTTACGTTAATCATACGTTCATCATAAACTTACCTCGCACAATCGAGAACTCGGCTTCCAGTCAGCCCTTCTTGGTTTGGTTTCCCAGATCTTGTGCCTTGCGCGGTTTTCTTTACCTTGCGGGAACCGGTACATCCTGAACCCCTTTTTCGCGTTGTTCGAGCACCCAACGGCACTGCTGCCCCCCATTTCTTTTTCATGTCTGGCAGAGCGCAGCGCAGAACGATCATTTTCATCGTCGTCTCTCGCTCCATGGACTCTAGCGAGCCGACTGCCGGCTCGAGCCAGTAGGGCAAACGGGTTTTATCTGCCGCCACCAGCCTTACACCAAACAAGGGTGAAGCTTGCAATTTAAGGTTATAATTATAATGCAATTAAATGCAAAGGTGCAATCAAGCTAGACGGCAAGGCACATCATGGCGGATGCGCATAGTTGCCAGACTGTTTGATCAGTGCTGCCAGACTGGCGGCTGGATCAAAGAACCGCCGAAGGCTCTGGGCATGTCCACATCCTTAAAAGTACTTTTAATATGTACTTTACCCAACACTGCAAAAAACTATGGTTTGCCCAATCGCAAACTTCGACTTCAGCGACTCATTTGGTCGCACGCGTCGCTAATAGCCCTCAGCCCTTCAAAATTTATTTCTATTGCTGGGTCCAAAACTGTCCGAATCCACTCAAAGTTTAACTTGTCCTGGAGATCCGTTTTGCGGTCTTGTAAATGAGCGTTTACTCAACATTTTTGTAATTTCTGATGTTGAACAAAAGATAATTTTCCAGTTTGCGCCCTCTAACATTCAGGGAGAAATATGTGCTGGCAAAATATATTAGATTTTGTAATAAAGGATGTTAAGAAGTTTGTTTTCCTGGCATACGAATTCTCATTAAAAGATTGTGCCCAGATCCACATCGGATTGGTGTTGGCTACGAAACATCGTTTGTGGTCAAGTCTGATAAAAAAAAATGATGATGTGCAAACTTCAGTGCATTGTTTGCATAAATTAATTAGGCTTCACAGCTGCTGCTATTATTCATGTAGAATATGAGTGGTGTATTTGTTTTCGTTGAAGCTTTACGTTTTGCTTTGTGTCCTGATTTCTGAAATATTCTCCCTCACTTTTCAGCTCTTCGAGTATTTCAGTTTAAATTCCTGCAAATGTTTGTGTTACCTTTGAAGAAACTAAAGCGAGAATTAAATATCAACATAAAAATACCACATTTTACCCATTGTAAGAAATGTTGGTTTATGCTTTCAGAAAGCGACTGCCAATTGTGTTTTTACTACGTACAGAAGTAATGCCAAGTTATAAACCTGTTGGGTTAGCACAGTATATATAGTGCATGTTGTTCTTGCGCCATTGAATTCTTAATAATCATCCGTCATGTACCACCTCCCCTGTCACCTTTATCGCGATTTCAAAGAGCTTATAATAATGCAGATAATCTTTAAAATTTTACTTGTTTTCATTACTTTTGTTTGCATGTGCATAAATGAATATGTTATCGTTCTATGTATGCCAATGCATGGGTTGTATTAGTATTCATTTTGTTTCATTTGCTTCTGTTTTATTTTTACTGTTGACTTTCTGCGTTTAATCTGAATGGTTGTGCAACACGCGGCTTACTGACATGGCTGTTTGCGGGCCTAGCGAAATAAGACATTACCTTAATCCTTATTGTCAATGCATAGTAAGGACAAACAGGCCCCTCACCAATTATTGAAAAAAAAAGCCTAAATTGAAATGTCCCGATTCCCACCTAGCTATATACGCTTAATAGCCGTACAGCAAAATAGTATAATATTGACCGCTGGGGCAGGGAATATCTCGGAAGCTAATCCCAAATTCATAAACATATATTTACAAAAAAAAAAAGGAACGAAATTCGTTACTCGTTGGTTACTAATAAAGGAACGCGCTCCTACGTACGTTACCTCAGAATAAAAGGAATGTGTTATCGTTACCAATAAAAAGTAACGCACATTAATCTTTCGTCACTGTTATTTATAAATTAACAACAGCGTGTTTATTTTTGTTGTTTTTGTTTTTTGTTCTTTTTTTTTTGCGACGGGGTTTTTGGACACTGGGACGAAGGGGGCGTTGGGGTTTTTCTGAAGTGAGACTTTAATGTGTGGATAAAAGACAGGCGAAAGTTGGAGGGTATGCGGAATTAGCGCAATAATTAATGATCATGGCGCATATCCATACGCAGCCTACGCTAATGGGACTAATCGAGCAGCGTGAAAAGCGCAAGTCACTGGGCCTTTTTTTTATCTTGATTGGTTCAGCGATGATAGAACAGAAACATGAGGAAAGCCATGATGGTGGCCTTTTGAGGTCGTCTCATTGGTCCCATCAGCTTGTAGCGTCGGCTGCGTCTGTACTTTAGGCCAAAACGAAGTACCGAAACACAAAAAGAAATTTAAGTGTACTTTTCCAGGTTTCAGGGAGATGAAACTAGTAGTGTTACTCGTGAGTTTTAAAAACGTGAGTACTTTACTATACGTTACCGCTAACGCCGTTACTTGCTTCGCGTTACCGCCAACACCGGGTAGGACGCTGCTTATCGACATTCTCGATGGCGTATAGAAATGTAAACGTAGTTTTAAAAGTATCCCGAGTGGCCGCGTAATATGTCGCGTATATAGTGTTGCATAATAAGAGACGGAACGTACACAAAATCAATATTCTGATCGCAGTATTATAATGTCGCTTTTTATTGTTCTTGTTCACTATGCCCTTTAGCCTTGTCCTGTATATGTGCGCAGGTGTTGCAATTTTGTTTTAATATTCTCTTTCGTTCGGTGAGAGTATACGTAGGAAAGGCGTTGGGAAACCGAGCAGCCTTCATAGTTTGCCCTGAAAGAGAAATGGAACATGTCAGTCGTGAAACACTCGACGTAAAGAGAGATACTATGGCGAAGCAAGCTAGACATGTCTTTGCAGGCATAGCACGGAGCTCGTGAGGTTTTCAGACAACAGTACCTGCAACTTAGATGAAAAAAAAAAAAAAAGAAGGTTTACAGATTGATATAGCGGGACTTAGCCGACGACATTTTGGTAGTTCTTGCTTCTTCCTGAAATATCACTGGGCAGACAGAGAGATAGAGAAAATAAATGGTGGTTTTGAAAATACTGGCAGCACTGGGCAATTTACATTTTGGATCGTGCCGTTACAATGTGATTATGGAAATCCTGGTTACCCTTTTTTTTAAGATAATATTTTTATTTATTTTTTATTGTGGAGTCAAAAAATTGAGAATATAAGCAAAAAAACTATAGAAAACTGGAGTAAAAGCCTAACTCTTGGAGAACATTTGAGACGATCTTATCTCCTTTCCGCTGTCCATACTCTACAGCTCTGCGCACATTTCGAGCTTCTTTTTCGAGGAATCGAGTAACTCACTTCTCTGCGAAAGCTGTAGATCGTTCCATTCAGACAGGCTTCCACGATGTAGATCGACTTTGGTTTCATGTCCTCCTAGTAATGCACATCGCCAGATTTATATATTGTAAACAGCCGTCGAAGCTTGCTTACATTCTTTGTTATTTGAGGGCATCGCATCATTGCTCTCACGTAAAACATAATTAATGTAACAAACACTTCGTTTTCTAGTCCAGTTTCTGCGGATTCCAGGCCTTCTCGAGATTAGCTTTTCTCAACTCGCGCATCTTATAGAGTAATTCTCAAGATTTAAGAAATGTTGAGGCACATTGTAACACACACACACGAAAAAAAGTAAGGACACAGAGAAACTATCGGTCATCAACAACATCGTGCGTATGAATATCTACGACCAGTCAGATTAATAAAATGCCCATATTATACATGTGCACTTGTCTGTCGAGGAACGATTGGCGTAAACCCTTGGACTGAGCAGCAGCACACACTGCTAGATCTTTCGGCCTTCCGGGTGTGTAGGTTAAAACGCGAATGGGGCAGGCTTTCAGAGACGTAAAGGCTCCGCAAACTCGTCTGTATCTTCTCTGTTACCTGCTTTATTTCAGCCAAGTGACGTTCGAGTCTTGATTCACTTAATTTGGAATATAAAAAAAAGTGAAAGCCGTTTACAACTCCCTGTATTGCCGAATTGGAGCGCAGCTCTTGAGGAGGAGGAGGGAAGGGTACTGAGGGGAGGGTAGACCCCTCCTCCTCCTCCTTCTCCTCCTCCTCCCCTCAAATTAATATGCTCCGGGGGGGGGGGGGGGTCACCTGACCTCGGGGGAGGGGGTCACGTGACCTCGGTGAGGGGGCCACGTGACCTCGGGGGGTCACGAGACCTTGGGGGTCACGTGACCTTGGGAGGGATCACGTGACCGGGGGGGGGGGGTCACGTGACCAGGGTTACCTTGGGAGGGGTCACGTGACCTCGGGGGTCACGTGACCTTGGGGTGACCTTGAGAGGGGTCACGTGACCTTGAGGTGACCTTGGTTACGCCGACGGCGACGCCGACGCCGCTCAAGCCGGAAACGGGCGCCTAAGAGCTGCGCTCTAAAAAAAATAACTTCTCCATTCTAACGCCGCTTTTCTTTCTTCTTTTGACGAGCTAATGTTAAACCGTGCGTCACACGGCTGCAGTCACTGAGAGCTTAAATGTATAGGGCGTAGCGATTCTTCGGCATCTCATCGGGGAGTTTTAGTAGACCGTTTCCACAGCCCGCTAAGCACCCGCATAGCGCTCCGTAATCCGACACAAGACCTTGAACACTGCAGACAAGGCTGGCGGCGCGCATGCGCAGCTGCGGCGTTTTCTTCACGGATACCGTAGCGGAGGAGAAAAACGATCTACTACAACTCCCTATTATCGCTTCGCAACTGACAAGATTGCAGTACTTGCCGATCAGAAGGCAAAGTAACAAATCACGAGGTATCCGAAACGAGTACTTGAAGGGATAAAACGTCGAGGACGGCAAAGAAGTCCTGTTTCCGTCCCCGTCCTCGATATTTTATCCTTTCAAGTATTTGTATCTATTCACCAACGCGCTCATTTTCAATTATCACGAGGCATTAAGTGTGCTTAGCATGAAGCAAGCTGTAAGCACAGACGCAAACCAGACAAGCCATAGGTAGTACGCTGACCGGGCGAAAATCTCGATTATTTTGATCTTTTTTTTTTTTTTTCTCCAAACAAGGCGGGGGAGGGAGGTTGGAAAAAAAAGCTGTCATTTCAGCTTGACGAGGCCTCTACCTCCCTTTACAGTACAGCGCAAAACAGGATATCTGCAAATGCACATGCAGAACAAAACAAATTCGTAATGAACACTTGTACCAGATTTAACGCGATTGAGAAAAGAATACTAGTTATATCAATAAGGATTTTTTTTCATGTTTTGTTACTCATTCATAAGCGACAACACTTTCCACAAGGAGTTTTTTTAATATTTCTCTTAAATTCTAAAAGGAACACTGAAAGTTTGCCTTTTCAATTTTGTTTAACAAGGAGAAAACGTGATAATCCAATTGTTGCATGACATAGTTGGTTCTTACTTTAGGTCTTTTCCAGATATTTTTTCTCGGTGCATGTTCTGAGCTAACATTCGTTGGGATTAGGTATAGCTTCTCTTTTTTGATTAGCTGAAGCATTTTAAAGTAATATATTTTATTAGCCTTTAGCATAGTGTATTTTTCAAACAGTGGGTCCGTACGTAAGTCTCGTAAGTTACTCTGAAAATTGTCGAGCATGCGAAGTATTCGTTTTTGAAAGACTATTATTTTATTATAGTTCGTCATAGTTGTAGCACCCCATACCAATGCACCGTATGATATGTTTGAGTAACATAAAGAATAATATATTTCATTTTTAACCATGAAGGTAGTAGCTTAAGAATTCTCTATATACATCCCATTGATTTCGTAGTTCAGAAGAAAATTTCTGTATATGCGTCCTGAGAGTACAGTTTTGAATCGAGAGGAAATAATGAATCATGTGTGTACTCACATTTTGGGTTGGAACCAAAAGGCGGCGCTGGAATGACCAAGACAAAATGTATGAAATGCCAATAACCCGGTTATCGTCACCATGCCCATTGGAGAAAAAAGTACTCCAAAGTGCCTTTAGAACTAAGGCTCGAACCTGAATTTTTAGTTTTGTTTCCTGACCGAATACGATTCAGAATAAGATGTAAACAATCTGGCCTGCGAGCGTGCATTTTCATGGCAGATTAGAAGTGCAATTAAATGACTGCCAACCAATCAACAGCCGACATGAGACACACCAGGCGAGGAAACGAAAGGGTGCTTCCCACCCTGTCACTTGTGTAACTGCGCGTCAGAAGTGTCGCCTTGCAACGCTTGGACTGGACGATAGGTCACGTTTGCGTATTTATAACCAGAGTGTTTCAATGGGTAAGAAGAGGGAAAATGAATGTTTGTAACCGAGGAAACGGTACAAATGACGTGACTATAAGTTTAGTTTCCACTGTATTAATATAGTTGAAATGTCAGGCTTCCGAGTAAAATGCGTCTGATTAATATAAGCATTTTTTGGGGAATAAAGTCTAGTGTGATGTTTAAAGGGCCCATGAAACAATTTTGGGCTGGGATAAATCAATTTAGATTGGAATTTTACTAATAGCATATCGTTCAGTGGACCAAAAGAAAAAATGTAGGATGTCAAAAGCCTGACTTTCGGTACGAAAATTCGAAAACACAGCGGACTATTTCGTACCTCCTTCCCTTCGTAAGCTTCTGCCTTTTCACTGTGATACATCCGCGGCCCCCGCAGCGCGTCACCGGGCCCAAACGCACGTCACACGACACCGGACCTCACTTATTCCTTCACCCCTAAGCTGACATTGTGGTGGAAGCTACGCGCTTTCCGGACCAATCAGCCGCCTCCCTTTCATCCCCTACCTGATTCTCTGCGCGTGGGTATGCGTGAGAGAGTGTGATCACGTAGCAAAAGTGCGGCCGGGCCCAACGAGCACGTAGCTTCCACAGCACTGTCAGCTTCGGGGTGAACGGGGTGGGGAAAGCAACTTTTGTCTGAATTTTGAGCAACGGGCTAATCTTCAGGGGGAGAATGGCTGTGTCCGGGACCGGGTTCACAAACGAGAGTCCGAACAAGAGGGGACTCGCACCTTTCCGTCTTCTTGAACTGTTTTGTACAATGTGCGATTTATGAGTTGAGGAGGAAAGCTAAACAGGAAAAAGTTGGAAAATCGTTTCAAAACTCCGTCCTACTTGAGAAACTGAGGCAGGTGATCCGCTACAAGCACGACAAGCGTTCAGCTCGAATTATATATGGTCACCCTAGTGAAAAAGCCATGTGTATGCGAAATTTCTTGTGTCCAATAAACGCATATGAATCATGCAAGGTATATAAGAACATATAAGAACCATATAAGAAATATATAAAATCTACATAAGATATGAAAAAAAAAACATATAAGAACCATATGAGAAACTTATTAGAATCTTATTAGAAACTTCACTTAAGTTTTTATATGGTTCCTATATGTTCTTATATAATTCTTATATGGTTCGTATATATTCTTATATGTATTGTATGATTCATATGTGTTTATTGGACACAACAATTTCTCATACAAATGAGATTTTTTAAGGCACCGACATTTTAAGAAGCGCAAGGCGCGGCGTGCTCTAAGTATCTGATTATCTCACCTCAGCCAATGAGGTTTTGGTTGATAAGAAGGCCGAAGCACCAATGACGAAACAATAATCGTGAAGATGGCCGACAACACACACTAAAAGACCCAATCCGGCTTCTTCTCTCTTTCTTTCTTTCTTTTTTTTTCTTTTCCCGTTTGCGATTCTCAAAATATGTATTATATCTCAATTGGTGAAATGATCTCAAGTCTTCATCTTTGTATTCAATACGTAGTTCAAACCACAATATCTCTGAGAAATTCTCAGATACGCTAAAGGAGCACGAAGGACTGTTTCAGCTCGTATGCGCGGAAGCAAGTCGTCTGCTTCTTGTGCAGCAGTTGCGGTGATGTCAGAATGATGCCGAGCTCTGATTGGCTTTGATTGGAAACATAGTTTGTAGACCCCAATGCTAGATGCCTCGAGGTCAACCCACTATTTCTTTTTTTCTCAGTCAGCCAATGAGAGCTCGGCGTTCTGACATCATCGTGACCCCTGTGCTAGAAGCAGACGAACTCGCTCTCTGCATTGTCCGCGATAGTGAGGTAGGGAACTAGCCCTGCCTTTCTTAAGTTGTCAGCAATGGCTGTCAGCGACTATGTCAAGTCCCTGTTTCAGAAAAAAAGAAGAATCTTCTCGGGTTCGCCTGACATAGAAAAATTAACATCGGTTGGCCAAATTACGACATGACCAAAGTGCAATACATTTTAGTCGAAAGCTCCTCTCTGGGTGGTGCGCTCTCACAAGTGACTGCTCGCAGTTCGCGCCGTGCGGCACCAACCTGTTGACTGTACTCGGAAAACCGATCATTGATCAGCCTTTCATCGGCTTCACCAATGAGGAAGGCCGGTTCTACCCCACTGCGGTCACCCTGCTGGTTCACGCAGCGCCGTTTTTTTACGATGCGTTAAGGCCGACGACCAGACTCCAGATTCTGCAAGGCAGAAGATCCTCATGGAAATGGTAGAATGGGAGAGAGGTAGAATGAGGGAGAGGAGGAAGCGGGAGAAAAGTGGAAAGCGCAAACTGGCCTTCGGTTTTGTTACGAAAGCCTACGTCGGCTTACGTCGAGAGTCGCCGAGATATCTGTGCTTTGCATGAAGCGTGGAAACCAGCTCAAGGAGTATACGTAACGTAAGAAAACGTATGGAAACGCTTTTGTGTAAATGGGCCTTTTAGTGGCACATGCGGTCCGAATGACACAAGAGGTGGATACCTCTCTGCCTCCGGGGCTGCATGGTCATTGTAGCGCGACACCGCTCGCCTTCGTAAGTGGTACAGCCGATGCCGGGGAGTAAAGGGGAGGGGGGGCTGGTGTTTCGTGTGCACTGCGAGGTGGCATACGTGAAGGCAGTTCTGAGACTACGCAACGTTATCAGGTATCTGTTGGGTTCCGGCTGCCGGCCCGGGCGCCAGCCCCCTAGAGACCAGACATGGCTCCCTGCGACTTCTAGCTTTTTTCAAAGTTGAAATCGCAGTTGATAGGCCGAAGATTTGAGATAGCTAACGAGATTACAAAGAAATCGACGATGCAGCTGATGGCGATCACGAAAGAGAGCTTCGCCGAAGGTTTTGGAAAGTGTAAACGGGACGCTGGAATATGTGTGTAGCCTTTAAGGTGACTTTTAAAGATGTTTAGGCGCTATCGTGTTAGGGTGCCTACATTTTAGAAATTAGTAAATGGCTGGATACCTTCCAGACAGACCTTGTACCTGTCGCCGGTTTACCGACAGCGGAATATTTTGGAGTCAAATCCTCTCTCGGTGAAAGACAAGCTTCAAATAGGGAATTTTAATGAAAATTACCGAAAAATAGCCGGGGCCAAAATAAGACAAAAGACAGCAACGCTCGCTGTTTTTTTTTTTTTTTTTTTTTTTTCTTATTTGGTAGCATTTGTTAAATTCTGGTCGTTACAACGCAACGCTTGCACATGCAGGGAGAGCGAGGTACACGTGGCGTCCTCCTATTCTTATCGCGCTCATGCGCTGTCAGATTGGAGAAGAGTCAAGCGCGAGTCGCGGGATGAGGCGCTCACTGGATATGCCGCAGTCTTCACAATGCCTCGCAAGATGAGGGAGTGAATTGAGGAGCAAATAGCTAAACATAAGCGGCAACGGGCTGAGCACGACCGTGCTCGATTAACACCTGATGTTGGCTCGACGCGCCAAAGAGAACACCGGAGGAGGGGGAGCTACGTCTCGGGCGAGGGATAGAGAAGCAAGGCGGGTTCGTTATGATATGACGGAAAGTCCTGTGAAGAAAAGAAAAGCCGCCAAAAGACCGTACCTATAATTATGAATGAAGAAAGAATAAACGATTAACACTGGGACAACATAACCACATCTTTCAACTAGCAACAGACGATTAAAAATTCCCACAGCGAGCAGCCGACTAAACCCAGGAGGAAAGGGGGGAGAAGGGGAGATAAGAAACGCGAAGAGCGAGTCAGAGAGGTGCGTTTATCTCGGATTTTAGAAATTCAACCTCAGTTTTCGTCAGCATGGAGGAAAGGGTTTGACCACGTTGTTTGCTGTGGTCATGGCGAATGACTCTATGATCTCCCTGCTCTATTTTACTTCATTCCCTTGAGTTGCGGCCATCAATACATGGGTCAGACCGGCAGATGTACCAATCACAGACTCCGGGAACATCACAACAAAGTTTCTAAGGCCTCTCCAGATTCCTATCATCCCATAGTCATACATGCCCGTTCGTGTTTGCTTTGTCATGCCCTCTTTGATGAAACAAAAATCCTGGGGGGGGGGGGGGGGGGGGGGTGCATAACAGCAGATTCGGCAGGGAGATCATAGAGTCATTCGCCATGACCACAGCAAACAACAACGTGTCAAACCCTTCCCTCCTGCTGACGAAAACTGAGGTTGAATTTCTAATATCTTGCTCTTCGCGTTTTTTATCTCCCCTTCTGTCCCCTTCTCCCCCCTTTCCCTCCTGGGTTTAGTCGGCTGCTTGCTGTGGGTATTTTTAATTCTCTGTTGCTAGTTGAAAAATGTGGTTGTGTTGTCCCAGTGTTACTTGTTTATTCTTTCTTCATCCATCACTTGAGTCAACACACTCTTCTCCCAAGAATCCCGTACCCATAGTTACACACTGTAAGAATTATCGCAACTATAATCAGCGAAATATGTAGTCTTCATTGAAGACGAGCTATGCTGCCGCATTTTGACGTTGTCTGCAACTAAGCACCACAGAAACACAGCCCCGGTTTTTAACTTACGCAATTTCCAACGACTGAATGAATTTTCGGTCCATATACCATTTACGTTACAAGTATAAGCTTGTCTTTGTTACGGTAAGCCCAGGAGGCACAGAACGTGTCCTGCGTGCATTATGCCTGCG